TGATGCAGTCTTGATCTAGTGCCGTCCGAGCCACAGAGCTCAGCCAGCACTATGAACGAGGGTCCTGCTTGTCTGAGCCGCCTGGAAGCCCCCCCACCAACCTATCAAACCTATCAAAGCTCCTAATGTCTGCTCCCCTGGTCATTTGCCATCGCTCTCTTCTCGCGCAGATCGGCATGGAGGTCTCCCCTCACCTGAAGGACAGCCTCAACAGGAACTTCTTTGACCTGCTGACCACCTTCCAGCAGGTCCACAGCGACAGTGTGCAGAACCAGCTGCTGCTGCAGCACGTGGAGATCCCGGCCTATCTCATCCTCTACTCCCCCGCCGTGCACTGGATTCTGCAGTGCGTCTCCTACCGGGCCCCCGAGGTACCGTTCTGTACCGCACCCCTGCACAGTCTTCAGGAAGCGCTCCACAGCACGGCGGGTTGACATGCAGCCATTTATTTTAAAAAGTGGCAGGATGACCTCTGACTTTGCCCTTTGTTTGCAGGCCTTGTTGACGGAGATGATGGAGAGGTGTAAGCAGCTGGGGAACAAGTAGGTTTCCTGTACTTTGGTTTTGTAGTCCTCCTCATGGCTTTCAGCTCTTTTTAAGTGGTGTCTGCTATAAGCAATAAAGGTTTTCTTAAGTGAGGTATGTGCACTTACAGGACACTAGTTTCCTTTCTGGTTTTTTTCTGTTCTTTTTTTTATTGTGGCTGTGGCAATAAAATCACCTGCTCTTGTTTAAGCATGCTGTTCGCTTGTGTTGAGGCATGAAGCCAATGGGAAACAGGGTCCTGGTCTCACTGAGCTATTCCTCCCCACAGTGCTCTGCTGTTGAACTCGGTGATGTCAGCGTTCCGGCCGGAGTTCGTCGCTGCCCGAGCCACCGACTTCATCGGCATGATCAAAGAGTGCGACGAAGCCGGCTTCCCCAAGGTGATCCCGCCAGAAAACTCACACCCCCTCCGCAATCTGGACATACAGATCACTCATATCGTCCACAGCTTCTTATGAGTAGAAGACGGACAACGTTTTTCAGCAGGGAATGAAATCCACCTACAGAGAACCAGGAAATGTGAAGGGGCGTGTTCCATTCAGAGTCCAGTCCAACGTGGCCTCTTGATCTGTGCTGTAGTGTGTAAGAGGGCGGCAGGTCGGTCAGGTGACTTAGGGCAGCAGCTCAATCCCCACGGCTTTATGGGAAATGTAGTCCGGACTGGGCCTTCCATTGCCTGAACCTTCAGCCCTCCTGCATGTTTAAGAGCCTAAATCTTGACCGGAATAATCTCTCTCTGCCTTTTTCTTTTATGGAATAACCTTCATCTCCGTTTCTTCCCTCCTTCCCCGCCAGCACCTCTTGTTCGGCTCGCTGGGGCGCAGCCTGGCCAGCGCGGACCCTCCCGAAGCGGACCGGCTCGGTATCCTGAACGAGGCCTGGAAGGTCATCACCAAGCTGCGGAGCCCGCAGGTACCGACGGCCACCGAGACGCATGAACTGAACCACGGCTCGCTGGTGCTGCTTCAACCTGTCGCCAGTAATGTACCTGGCTGATGCTTTTAAGCAGAGTGACTTCCATTTGTACAGGTGGGCATTTTGCTGATGCAATCGGATTGCAGCACCATGTTCAGCAGTACAACAGCTGTGCCCCACCAAGGATTTGAACCCAGAACTCCCCAGTTACACATCTTATGCCCTGATCACTGCATCAGACCGCTGTCTAATGATCCAAGTGCCGCAGCGTCTGTTTAATCCTGGGTTACGAGTGTCGGCTCAGGCCAGGTTTATGAGACCCTGTGGGAGGGGGTGTTTCTGACGGCTCTCTCTTCTTTCTCCTCTTTCTTTTCATCCGGTCTGGCTCCCGGCAGGACTACATCAACTGTGCAGAGATCTGGGTGGAGTTCACTTGCCGCCACTTCACCGTGAGTCCACTAGGGGGCAGTGGAGGGAGATTGTCTTGTGTCTCAGTTCAGGTTTACAGAAAGAGATGGTATCTTTGTGATTAAACTGTGTAGTGATATAGGGTTATCTGAATATTCCGTGCTTTTTAAAAACAAAATATTCCTCATTTAAAAATGTGTGTCTGACAGAACCAGAATCATTTTTCTGCATTTCTTTTGTCTCACAGAAGCGGGAGGTTAACACGGTGCTTTCTGACATAATCAAACACATGACGCCTGACCGTGCCTTTGAAGATGCCTACCCCCAGGTAACCTGCAGTTCAAGTCACAAGTGTAGTTCAAGGGCTGCTCTGTCCAGCCTGTTGGTCATAGTGCAGTCCAAGCACTGGTGTTCCAGCCTGTAGGTCATAGGTCACAGGTCAAAGTGTAGTTGGAGGATCATCAAAGATTCTAAATTTATTCTTTTATGAGCTTCTGCCCTTTTTTTAGAGCCACGGTCACGAGCCCCAGGAGAGACAGGCTGGCTAATTGTGTGTTGTGCTTTTCAGCTGCAGTCTGTGATCAGGAAGATTCTGACATACTTCCAGGACTTCTCTGTGCTGTTCTCCATGGTGAGTTGACCCGGATGTTGGTGGGAGAGCTGAGAAGGAGGTATGGGTGGCTGGATTTTGCCATGAAGGCTTAAGCTGGATGAGATCTGCTTGCACGATAGTTATTGGGGGAGCTGGAAATGGGAGGAGCATGAAAATGGAAGATGGACAAGCCTGGTTTTACAGAAGGTAGGGGTTGGGGGGTACTGTAGTAGGGGCAGGTGGGACAGGACAGTGAGAAGGCTGTCTCTTTCCACAGGAGAGGTTCCTGCCCTTCCTGGACATGTTTCAGAAGGACAGCGTGAGGGTGGAGGTGTGCCGTTCCATCATGGAGGTCTTCATCAGGTCTGTGCCTGTCCGTTTATCTAGCAGTTCAGTTCGATTCCCCTGCTTATCGTTTCCCGTCCTTTCTCGTCGCTGTATCCCTCTCCCGCCTGTCCTCCCTCGTGTTTCCTGTCCGAAACCGCGCTCGGATTCCCATCTCAAGTAACGGGTGGGTTTCACTGATGCCCAAGCAGGACGAGAGTAAATGATGAACCGTCTTTTTTTTCCCTCCATCCCCCCCCAACTTTGGAGGACATCTTTACTTTCAATACATTTTTCTCATCTTTTCATTTCCTTATTACATCTCTTTCCCTTCCTTTACTTACTTAACAATTTTAATTTCTTTCCACTCCATGTATCTTGCATATCTCACCCTCTGTCTTTGGTGTCTTATATATCTACAACTTTGTGTCTTTGGTGCTTTTGAGATTTGTCTCTAGGGGGCCCAAAACCGAATGAAAATAAAATAATTTAACCTCCGGGTTGGAAACAAGCCTTTCAAGGTGAAGTTGGGCAAGAACCTCAAGAAACCAATCCAACGCAAAGGCCCCAAAATAAACAACCATTTCTGCATGACAGCTCTTTTATCAACAATACAGAGTCGGCATTTTTACCCTGAACTGAAAATTTAAACTTGGACAGATCCCTCAGAGTACGAGTAACAGCCCATCAATGGGATTGATGTATCAAGATGTCTGAGTGTTTCCTGTGCTGTATGCATGATGAACTGTCTTTAAAACATGGAATTAACATATATGACTTATAAGGAAAACGAGACCTTTATAAGGAAAACAAGAAACGGATAATCTCACATGTTGAGAAATGAAGTAAATGTAGGTTCTGCACAGCACAAAAACCGCTCCGTCTTCTCCTTTCCTCTCATTCCTCATGATTCCTCTCCCTCGACTTCCTGAGCCTTCTGCCTCTCCTGCCTCTCTCCTGTCTGCTCCAACTCCAACCTGGCCTCTCGGTCTATGCGTCTGGCTCGCTCCTTGCCAGCCTGGTGTGCGTGATAGGGCCTCACGAGCCTGTGCCAGCCTGTCTGTGCCCACAGGTGCCAGCAGGAGCCCACCCGCGACCCGGTCATCCTGAACGCCCTCCTGCACGTCTGCAAGACCATGCACGACTCCGTCAAGTAAGCACCAAATCCTTTCAGCCGTCCATATGCAGACTTACTGCATGTTTTATTTGTCCAAAAGTCGAGCTGCTAGGTTCTGGTTTCTCTGTCATTCTCATGTTTGCTGGGGAGTATCCTGGCACTCTGGGAGCTCGGCTTTGAACTTTTGCAAATAGACTCAAGGGTTCGTTTAAAGAAACGGAGCTGTTTGGCATCAGGATTAGTTTTCTTGATTGTCTGCTATTGGCGCAACAGTGGATGAAGCAGAGCACAAATACAAGGGTCTCTGGATTGCAAAACATCCGAGAAGTTTGAGATGTAAGTAATGATTAGACCTTAGACAACTTTAATTAACCCTAAGATTAAAACAAATATTGGGATTAAATGTTCCTTGAAGCTTTTACTTTACTGTTGAGATGAACAGCTTCAATACCGCTTCTAGATTTGTGTGCAGGTCGTAGTTTAAAGTGTCCTGTAACTGGAGGGCTGTGATTCTCAAGGACTGCACTGTCGCAGGGTGTGAAGAATGATTTTAAATGTTGGCCGTTTCAACCCAGTCTGGTGTAGCCCTGCAGTCCTCAGAATTCACTAGTTCACTGAGGTCTGGTGCAAGGCTCTTATCTCCCTATCTGTGCCTCTGCAGTGCCTCAGGACTCTTATCTCCCTATCTGTGCCCCTGCAGTGCCCCAGGGGACTGATCACTCTCTCTGTGCCCCTGCAGTGCCCCAGGGCACAGATCACTCTCTCTGTGCCCCTGCAGTGCCCCAGGGCACTCATCACTCTCTCTGTGCCCCTGCAGTGCCCCAGGGCTCTGATCACTCTCTCTGTGCCCC